TAGTTGACACTGTAAATCTTATTTTGTGTTGCTGACTTCTCTGCTCCCTTACAGTGGATGATATCTTAGCTGAAGGAGCAGAGAGGCATCTGCTGCATTTGTGCCTTGGCTCACATCCTCCATGCCAAGCTCTGCTTGTTGTTTTGTGTTTTGGGTGAAACAATGGGCACAGTGTTCCCTGGCGGCTGAAGAAGAGATGCAGAGGGTCTGCCAGCTCTGAGCAGCCAACACACAACTCTTTGTTGGCAGTCTTGCTAAAAGCAAGTGTGCCAGGATCATTGATGCTTCATGCTCCTACTTAAGGCTGTTGCGCACCGATGCTATTTAAACAAATTGTTTTTGCTGATTGTTGCTAATGTTATGTATCACAGTAGTTCAGAAGACTTGCATCCTTTTTACGCATCTATACTGCTGCTCCTGAAATTTAATTGTTCTTCTGTTTTTGTCTTTCTGGAGAGCAGTTGCAAGGCTATGAAAACATCTTTTGCTCTTTAGAGTTGTGTGATTCTATATAGGTGCTGTTGGAATTATGAAAAAATATTTTTGACAGTCCAAAGAGCTTAAAATAGTAATGATGAGGATTATGATAGGCATTTCACTGTTGAACAGTAGGTTTTCTTGTATTTTTAATACTGTTTTGCCTTGTTTTTTGGAAGTATAGTACTCTTAACAGAGTGAAAGTAAGCTTTCCTCCAGTCTAGATTGGAGGAAAAAAAGTAACATCTTTCAGGTGACTGCTAAAAGTAGTCTTTACTTAAATAAACTGTGTGTTTTGTTACTCTGGGTTCTTTTCATAAACTCCTAATCTTGGCTTGTGCTGCTCTGAGTCAGTGTCCCCAAGGGCAGCGGGTGGCAAGAGGCCTGTAGGAGGAAGGTGTTGTGCCATTTGCATGGCTCCTCTTGCCAGAACTGTTGCTGCATCAGTAAATGACCTGCTGATGAAGGGCAAGAGAAGTAAGGGCATGTGCTTCAGATGTCATTCTAATTGGAATAACTGTTATCTTGGCTTTTTTGTAAGTTTTGGGGACATAATATGTTAACAATGTATACTTTAAACCTGTGAAGTTTGTTTCTGATTTTTCTGGCTTTATAAATGCTGTCTATGAATCCTAATTCTCAGAAATTCTCAAAAAGTTGCATGCAGAAAACTCTTGTATTGTTTTAGTCGAAGATGTATTCTCTTTTTTTTCCTCCCTTCCTATCTTTTTATATAAGAGGAAGCCATGGGTAATCATGGAGTAAGCCATGACATTTTATTTTTGTAGATATTGGTGACCAGTCAAGACCAACACGTAGAAGATATAGTAGTTTTGGTGTTCTAAATGCTTTATTTCCTCTCTTGAGTTTCATGGCAGTTTAATACTCTTCTCTCCTGTTAGTGCTTTCCTCTTCTCTCCCTTGCAAGTTAAGAAATCAACAGGACATAGGCACTTCACTGGACTGATCCGATAGCAAAATAAAATGACAGAAGAGATGGTTATCTCTTTTCTGGGAGCTGGGCTAATTTGTTTATTTTTGTGACTGAATAAACAGAAATTAAGTGTAAAGATTGGGAAGATAAATTCTGTCTTTTAATGATCACCTGAAAGTTTGAAAACGTTGAAGACATCACCTAAAATATCCAGCAACATACGACAGGACAGTAATTGATCAACAAGAAAGAGCTCTGCCTACATTCATCTCTATCTTATTTCCTTGTATAAAATATTTGAATTTGCTGTGAAGTCTCCTGAGCATAAACTGCTTAGATACTGTTGTCTCCAGATTCCCTAATTCCACCTCCCCAAATTTCATTTTAAGTGTGTGCACTGTATGATTTAAATGAATCAATTTGAACCAGGTAATACGTTACACATCAATATACAAACACTGGAAACTGGTGCTCGCTGGTAACTTTAGTTTGAGTACTCACAGCTGCTATTTGGAGAGCAAGGCTGATAATTTAAAATTCTAAAATTCTTAAAGTCATTATTATTGCAACAGATGTTTTCTCCTCTTTGTTTGTCTGCGTGGTTTGTTACTGCTGTGCATGTCTCTGCAAGCCATGTGCTTGTTTACATCAACAGTACCTATAAGCTGTAAATATTTTCTGCTTAACTTACATTTTGCAACTTACGTAACTGAAGGGTGCAGTGCAGCTTTCACCTTGGTTTCTTTTAGACTGTTTCTGGGCAATTAAAGATGTCTCTTATTTGAGTCTGAACTATCAGAAAACCATCTACTAGTTCTTTGTATATATACTATTCTTTAATTTTTGTTTTCTACAAGACTGAATGGGAAAACCTAGCCAAAATAACTGCATCTCTTGAGGATGTTTCTATCTGTAAGACAGTATTCTCTCCGAGCATGCAAATTTTCAAGCCTTGCTGTAAAGATCAGAAGCACAGAGCCAAACCAATCTAACTTCCTCTACAACAGGAAGCTTGTGGACTGGGGGAAAGCCACATGTAATGCACTTACAGTGCAAACCAAGAAAACATGCCCTAGATAAAAGCTGTTTTAGGATGTATGTAAAATCATAAGGTTATAAGTAGGCAGAGGGTTTTTTTTATTATTTTATTTTTCAGTAGCTCCTTTTGAGAAAGGGAGAGAATGTCGTGTGGGATTTTGTATGTTTGGTTCAGCTTGGTCTTGTTAATGAACTGGATAATGGAATAGAATACAACTGAGATTTGCAGACAACAGGAATTTGGGGAGACATGCAGGTATATGTGAAGTTCAGATGTCAAGCTAGGATATGGTTTCGTAGAATAAATTAAATGGAATGTTTAGGTCAAAATGGTGGTTATTCAGCAGATTCTTTTTTATGCTAAGTAGCTCCCTCTCAAAAGTATAGGACAATTGATAGATTACAAATTAAATGAGTTAACAAAGTCATCTTTTCCAGAAATAAAAAATGTGTATGAAGAAGAAAAATGTATTGTGATGTGCATGAAGTGGCATCATCAGGAGGTTATTTACAGCTGAGCCGTCTAGTCTGTCTTGTGAAGTTGAAGTGAAGTTCGGGTTTGGAAATTTTACTTTAAGAAAGATGTAGGCACAACTAATTTACTGCAAGTGGACTATAGTAACAATAGTAATGACTGGAGTAACTACAGATTAAATTGGCATATTTTGTTTGTTTTGGTAACCTTAAAGAGAAGATGAGCTTTTAAGCTAAAAAAAAAAAAAAACCAAAGTTTCAAAAAAGGAACATCTGCCTTTTATAGATGCATCTTCCGAACTAGTGGTAGTGTGGAGGATTCTGCTTTTATTGTGCTTATTTGCTTGCTTGTGTTTTATATATATATATAGATAGATAGAGATATTGTTATTGATGAACCGATACAGGACAGTAGTGAATAAAGAATATATCTTCCTAGGATTCTTTGAAGAAATACATTTATTGGCAAGATCACTAAAGGATGATTATTTATGTAAATAATTACACTGGGGTTAAAGCTCTTGACTAGACAGAAGAAAATCTGCTCCCAGCTTTGTCAGCAGTGAACAGCAGATCACTTCTTTTTCCACTTTGCCCATCTGTACGAACTGATCATGTTCTCTACCTCTCTAAAGCACTTAAATCGTTTTTGAGGAAAAAGTCATACAGAAAAGCCAATTTAAAATGAAGAACACCAATTTGTGCATGCATGTTATAATGCGTAGAACCTAGTCAGAGCTCTCAGAAGTCTGTGTGTTTGTTTAATTGTTTTGAAGGCTGTGAATAATTTGATTTAGAAAAAGCAGCACTTGGGTGTCTTTGGAATTATGTCACGATCTCTTAACATTTGACTGCTACCTTTCTAAAAGTGCTATTGTGATTGATATTAGGTCTCTGCTGCATGTGCCTCGGATCATCTTACGTATCCTTATTCTTCTGGCCCATTGAAACCTCTCTATTCAGATTTGTTTAAAAATTATATTCCTTCTGTGAGATCCTTAGACCATTCTCTTAAAACTCAAACTGCCATCCATTTCAGAGGATATAAAATTGCTTATTGGGTGCTGAAAGAATAAAAATAGCTATAATGCTTTAATGTTTATTGTCAAATGCAGAGCAAGTATGAATTGAAGTGTTCACCTTTTCTATCTCCTGATGTGAAAAAAATTAAGACACTGTCAAATGTTATACTTACTACTTTACTTGCCTTAGTAGAGAGATAATTTGTTTTGGAATCCTTTCTCATGCCTTCTCATGTGTGTTAAGGTATTTTGTTCACTTAACAGCTGTTTAGAAATTCCTTCAGACTTTATTAAATGATTGGAGAGATTTGAAGGAGTTGTTTCATTAAGTATTGCTAAAACTTAAAAGGCAACCCTTAGAAAGGCTCAGAAACTTTCAAGTGTCACTCTCTTTAAAGTTAAAAAGCTAGTGTTTAAATTTTAGGCAAGAGATGAAAATTGTATGTGTGACCGAAAAAACTATATAAACTAGAATACATATGGAAAAAAATAAGCTCAGAGGGATGATCTTGTCCAGACCTGCTCTTGTGAATATGAGCTGTAGAGAGCTGTCTTCCAACTTTCTCTGGAACAAAATTGTTGTGCTAAGTGTTCATGATTGGATAGAGGGCAACATATATAGAACTCAGAAATAGATAACTGCTTATTTAGAAAGGCAGGCAATACTCCTACTCGAATCATATCATTTGAAAGGCTGCAAAATTTTGATGGCTGTTGTTCCACCTCTCCTCTCTAGTCTGCATATGTTGTTCTCATCGCAGGCTTGGCTCACTGCCTCTTTTTAGCAGCAATGTTCTGGCTTCTCCCTTGCCCAGAGAGGAAGGAGGGGAGGGGGAAAAAAATAATAATAAAATAAAGGATTTTGAAGTCTTAAATGGTTGGAAAACTCTTCTCCCCCTCTCCTTTCCTCTCAACCTCTGCCAGAATTGAATTTAAAACTTATTTGTGTTTCTGTTCTTCTAGGACAACTTTAAGACTTTGTGGATGGAACACGTCTCCTTTTGCTTCTATATTCACATCAGAATGGCCTAGGCCAATCTATTGCTTTATGGATCTTACCAAAGGTGCTCTACAGCAGTGCAGTTGGATCTTGCCAGCAGTGTTTGTGGACCATCCAGATGGCTATACAGAGAAGGTTAGTACAAAACATAATCCAGAAATTCTTGAGGTTTTATTCAGGTTGCTGAAAGTGTCCTCAACCGAAGGGCACACTTAGAGACTGTGTGTAAGCCATAGCGTAGCCATTGCATATTCTGTATTTCGCTGTCCTTTCAAGACCCTGGTGGCCCAAGTCAGTGGTCTGCAACCATCAAAGAAATGTCCTTCATAATCTCTTTGGATTAGCACCAGCCTGTCTTGTCAGTTACTGTGCTTCTCTGCTGGTAGTTGTAAGTACAATGTCCAAGTGAATAGAGCATCCTAGCTATCTTCTCCTTGTGTTACCTTTGCGCTCTTATTTCCTGAAGAGAGATCTAATGCAAAGCCCTTGAATCTGAATCCAGATCCACAGACCGCTTGTGCTAAACCTTTCCACAGAAGCATACTTTTCTGTGTGCAGCAGAACTAACAAAGCCCGATTCCTTCTATTTGTTTTGTTTTTCTTTGTTCTACTCTAGTAAGGATAGTTCCTGTAAAGCATCCTGTTTGGACAAGAGTGAACATGATAAACCACAGTTTGAATTACATGTGTACACCTTGGTGGCCCAATACAGTGTTTAATAGCTTCGTTCTTGTTAGTCCTTCTCTGTGTGCGTTTCCTGCTTGGTACTAATTTATTTATTTTAATGTTTGGTTGAAATAAGATGGAGAACCAAAGTTTAAAGGGACAGATGGACAATGATATGGTAGCACAAGTCTGTTTCCTTTTGTAGAAAACAACAAACAACTGTGAAGTTCAGGTTCAGTGGGGAGAAAGGCCTGTTAGAACTTTAAGTTAATCCTTTTCCAGCCAATTTCAAAATATTTTAATTCAGCATATGCTCTTATATTCAATGTTGAAAAAGGATATCTTGAGCAGGCATCGTTTGGAAGGAGGGGGAATTAATCTCAAGTGATTGCTTCTTACTGTTAAATAAAATTAATATTTTCTGAGTGTAAACTTTGGATCTTCTTGCTCATTTTGTTTTCACCTTTATTGTTTCTGTATTTGAATGCATTCATGGGTATAGTAATTTTACTGACTTGATCATCATTGTAGCTCATGGCTTTTCAAACTTTAGCTTTCCCTGCAGACCAGCCACCTCTTCTGTGGTTGTTCATCTGTGTATTGAGTTTAATCAGATAATTGATGTAAGTGGAAATGAATGGGGTTGTTAGGGAGGCTCAGTGAATGCCTTTATGGACAAAGTTTTGGCAACAGTGCCATTTTAAGAAAGCACAATAAACTCCTATAATTTTCTATACTTTCTTTGATCTGCAGTGGGGATCTGACTGGAAAAAAAAAAGGTAAAATTCTTGGTTATTTTTCAGTTTTATAAGTGCCCTGATCATTGCTGCATAAATTTTTCTTGGTGTAGCAGGAACCTGGAATGAGAGAGGGAGGAGTGCAGCAGCTACTTATAGTAGCATTGATGAATCTCTAACCATGGTCTAATTGCTTCAGGGAAGCAGCAAAAAATCTCTCATAATGGTTACTGAAAAATAATTTTAAATAAATTGTGCCATAGAACTTTAGGAGTCTTTAGAAGGTATTTGATTTTAATTACTCTTTCAGTGGTTAAACTACTCAAATGCTGCACTATCCAATTATATATAGCTGAATTTGCAAAATAGGCCCATCATGTTGTGGGTTTTCTGTGTGTTTTTATGCTTTATAAAACATTAACTTAGTGACCTGTTTTGGAGTTTCTAGTTAGATACGAATTTTGGATTATGAAAAAGCTTATGTTACTGCCAACTTCATACCTTCAAAAATGAAGTGTTAAATTAAATATGTTAAAAATTAAATTTATCAAATTTTTTAAATAAATTTAAAAATAAATTAAATATGCCTAACAGTTTTTTTGGAAAAAATAGCAAAGTAATGACTTTGAATGATTTTTCTTTGAAAAAAAATTAGTTATCCCTTGTAGGAAGGCATATTCAGTAGGTAGGTGAATACTGTGTGTGGTGGGTTTTTTTTTTTCATTTTATTATTATTTTTTTAATCACGTAGGCAGTTTGTATTTCATACACAATTGGGTCTTTGTGTGTGTGTGTTTCCTTGCATGTGTGTGTCTATTAAATCAACCTGATATCTGATTCTGCCAGCAGCAGAAGACCACCTTCCTGTCTTGGCTTTGCTTCATTGTTTCTCTTCATGCTTTTCAGTATGGTAGCCACCTAGGAGATGCAAGAGTGATGGGGAAGGCAGACATGTCTGAGCAGAAGTAGTCAAATCTGCTCTCTGCCTGACAGTTAATAGTTTGCTTGCTTAAATATAAATGAAGTGAAAAGGCACTTCTGTGTGAACATCCTGTAATTCAAAACTAGGTTTTGTGGCAGTTCACATAGGACAGTAATTTCTATGCTCTTAGACATAAATACTTCAATGCATGAACCTCTCTGGCTTTAGGTGACCTAGAGTTAAAGCTCTGGTCTGCTAGAAATACCAGTGCAAGGACTGAGAAGACCAGGATGCCATGGGACTACTCCATAGGAAGTGGGACTACAGTCCCAGATAAAAGCTATATTTGCTAACCATTCTGTCAACCTCTCCCTTTCTTCTTTCCTTGTTCAGACTTACAAAGGACCCCAAGTGATAAAGCACTTTTTTCAGGATGCTGCTTTCTTATTCTGTTGTTTTTTGTGTGGCAGTTTGTTTCTTCATATTTATCTATCCAAAATAGAGCCCTAAAATCAAAGTTTAGAAACAGATTTGTCAGGAGCAAATTTATGAGCCCTTGAAGAATATTTTGTGGTTTTTTCATACCACGTGTAAATTGTTTGGGTTGATAAAGGGAAAACAAAAAAGGACTTGAGCCTGAGATATTTCTGATATTTGTTGCCAGAGATCTCTGGGAAGGCAGAATTAAAAAAAATAAATCTAAAGTAAGTGCTATAAATAAGAGGGAAAGTCCAAGTTGGAAATAGGGAAGGGTGTTTTTTTTTTTTTTAATGAGAAATATTCCAATAACTTCATGAATATATCAATTTGAGGATGGATTGGATTAAGTTTGTATTTTTACTGAACGAAGAATGTAACTTTTGTGCTATAAGAAGCATCTTGTTAAGAAGATCTTGTTGGTTAAGTGGCTATTAAAAAGGTATGACCGAAGTCTGATACAGGAATGGCTATCACTTTTATCAGTTATCATCTATATATGAAATAAAGACATCTTATTCCCAAATAATCAAATACTTTTTAGTGCTTGAGGAGAGGCTGTAATCAACTTAGTCTTGTGACTGACCACTGGACAATACTTTCCCCCAAATATCTGATCAGTCTTTTCTCTTTAGAGAAAGAAAAAAAGCACGTGTTAAGGTTCTTTCATTGAGTTCTTTTTTACTTTTAGATAGAAAACTCACCTTTTGGAAATGTGTAAAAGAATTGTTTTTAGCCCTGCAAAAATGGTCAACTTCTCTTGGTTAGAAATCTGATGTTTTTCTGGGCAAGGTTTATTTTTGTTTTTTTTACTGTCTGCAGCATTACTGCTAGAGAGATGAAAAGTAAATCATGTTAACATACATATTTATGTATATGTATACTTTAAAGAAAATCTAAGCCATATATTATAAATATATGTCTCATGCTTGTCAACATATCCCTTTTTCTTTCAGTCTTTGGTCATATACATTATCCTAGTCAGTAATTTTTAACTTGTTAGCTGCCAGCATTTGGTTTGCTAGAAATTTGGGAAGTTATGTTAGGCAGAATCCACTCAGTTTGTCTAAGATGAACACCTATGATCCCAGCACGTTATATGAATTTTTCTCTACCTGTGTTGAAGCTGCATTTATTTCAGAACAATTATTTGGTTTATTTTCTGCATATAGATAGAACATGTATGTGTATGAATGTAGAGAAGTAAAATTCATAATATTTTGATATGGGTTTGTTTCCCAGTTTTGCTTGTGGGAATGCATCCAAAGCCTTCATTCATATTTTTTATTTCTTTAGGTTCCCCTTCTGGGTTATTAACCTTGAATAGAAAGCTATCAGGATTAGAGGGTTCTGCTGTTCCTTGTGTAAGGACAGTTGGTGCTAATTAGCTGACTCTTCTTCAAATTACCTTGAGCATTAATGATATCCTTAATGATAACTTCCCATCTACTTCTAGTCTGTATTTTCTGGCATCTTACAGTATTTCAATTAAAGAACAGTTTTATTTCACTGTAGATTTTGTTTTGAGATATATATATATATATATATATATATATATATATATGAAGAAAATTCGTTGCTTTGTGCAATTTGGCTATTTGAAAACATTTGAGATTTCATTTGAAAGATTTAATGTCTAATAACATATTAAGAAAGTTCCAAGCATGTCTTAAAACATTTATTTGATCCCTTGATTTTTAGATCATGATTTGCTTAGGTCTTTGACAGTCTTTTAAAAATTTATAACTGACTGGTGACAGTGAGTTCTCTTATGTGTCATAAGTAGTGAAGGGTTTCTCCTTGAACTGTGTTCCTTAGTATTGACACTTCAGTTACTACTACTAGTTTTCTTCCCTTTTAATTTGTATTTTAATGCTAAGAGCTGGAGTAAGTTCAAACCCCCTTTGTCTGTGGCTCTTAGTGACTTCAATAGGATTTCTGCTTTTTTCCCTTAAATATTTCAAAAGCAAACAATGCCTGATATTTGTAACTGTTGACATGTCATGACTGAAAAGAATCAGCTGCAGAAAATTCTAGTGGGTACTTAATGCATCTGAATGAACAGTGATCAGTTGGTGAGGATGATATTATTCCCATCTACTCTCAGAAGTAGGTTTGCAGTTTGATATTTTAAATGTAGAATTAAAAAAAAGAAAGTAAATTCGATTATTCATATTATGTGAAAAATTGGTAAGTGGGGAAAAAAATGAAAATAGCAATATTGAAAATGTGGAACAGCTTCTAGAGCTTTTTTACTGCTACATAGTCTAATCTAGTGCATGTAACTGCTTGAACAAGGTTGCTGTCTCAATAGCAAATGCCTTTTTTCTTTT